CCCACAAAGAAGGGGGGGGGGGGGGGGGGGGCAGAAAAGGCAGAGCTGCCATCTTGGCTGCTCCCCTTTCCATTGGCAGCTCCCCACTTCCCCCCAGCAGGCTGCAAAGCTGGGCCACAGTGGCCATGTGGACTGCTGACACACTGGGGAGCCAGCATTTTATTTTTAGTGCGTGTTCTTTTGGGTGGGGGGTTATTTCGCAGATCTTGCGAACAATGCCCAATTTCACAGCTTCCGCGAAATCCACAAAATTGCACATTAAGTAGGTTTCTACACATTATATACTCTACCACTAAAACAAAGAGCAGCAGCAAACAAGGTTAAAAAGCCCAGTCCCTCTTAGTATTAAACATCCTTCAATATTATTATTTCCTTTCTCTAACATTCATGTCACAACTAGTGTTTTTAGAAGCATTAATTACACTAAAGATAAAAGAACTACCAGAATATACAGTGGAAAACTTTAAGCACAGAAGAAGGATAAAGATACCTGTGGCCTCGAATGTCCGACTGGTCGCATACTCCTCCTAAGGCAATCCTGTGGAACTCTCGACCCAGGGTCTTTGCAATAGATCTTCCCACGCTAGTTTTACCAACTCCGGGGGGACCCACAAAGCAAAGAATGGGTCCCTTTAGGTTGTTTTTCAGTTGCCTGACAGCTAAATACTCCAATACTCTCTTCTTCAATTTCTCCATGGCATAATGGTCATTATCCAGAAGAATTCTGGCTGCACGAATATCCAGCCGGTCTATGATACACCAATAATAAGGATATCAGCATATTTTCTTTTAAATAAAAACATAACTATTTCTATATGGCAGACAATGTTTACTATTGTATGTGAATGGCAAAATCTTAAGTGTCCCTAAAAGCACCCACCAAAAGAAAGCAACCTCCAAGACTGACAGGACAATATTCAAACCACTACTAATTAAGTACATCTTTCTCTTCCCTTTTTGTAAGGAAGTTAGCCTGTATGACTTGACTATATAGTTTTTTTTACCCCCTTGCCACAGTTTTAGAATCTCATGTGGGTGAACAACAGGCATACGTTGCTTTATAACTAATCTGCTAGCACTGATTGGAAATTAGCACTGATGGTGATTTCATATAGATCACCATTCTTGTAGCAAATCCTAACAGAAAAAAAGGATAGAGTTTCCTCCTTCTAACCTTCCCCAAAAGATTGCTTTTGATGGCCTAAAAAGGTTCACAGATTGGGTTAGATCAGGCATGCATGGCAGTGTGGGGCCTGATCCTGGCATGCAGGGCTGGGTGGAATCTTGATCTGCAAGTGGCACCAGGCAGAGGCAATATGGGGTCCTAATCCCAGCATGTGGAGCTGGTGCAGACCACAGAACCCAATCCCTACAAGTGGGGTCAGGGGAAGATAGCAAACTAACTCCATTTATATCATCCAGACTGCTTGACTAAAAGATAATCTTTCAATCAGGAAGAGCCAAACATCAAATTAGCACATCAAGGCAGTTTTTGCTGCCAGACAAAACTTCTAGAGCCAGACCCAAGTACATACACCAAATGTCAAATAACAGACTTCTCCTGGAATTTCGGCATAACACATAAGAAGTATCAAAGAAGGCTAAAATGCACTCACCTTTTGTACTTTTGTTCCATGGAAGTTCCACCATCAGTTCTAAATAATTCCTGGTCAAAGCATATTCTGGCATTGATTGAGGCATCTTCTTTAATCTAAAAAATTATTTGCATGAAAAACTGCATAAGAATATTCAGGAGATGGAAAGCACAACATAAGATTTACTTCCCTGCTACAAAGGTCCATTTCTGGCGCACTTAAGTCCACAGCATTCCCTACTACACTGAAAATGTTAATGCTATGAAACAATGCCCTGCTCATTTTTAAGATTGTAAATCACTGAATTAAAAGAGCATGTGCATAATTAGCATAAAATAGCAGCATCCATTCTTAACATGAAGATTACATGGCTTATAATTAGAGGTGCAGAGATATACTGGATGCATATTGGATCAGCACCGATAAAAGAAAAATTAATATTATTGGCTATTGGGTTTTTTTGGCCAGTGTAGCCGATAATGCCACTGATAAATACAATATACCTTCTGGCCGGGGCCCCACATGTGTGCACGTGGCTCAGAATGCAGTCAGGTAGCATGGAGAACAGCACCCTGCAAGTAAGTCTGTAGAGGGGAAGGTGCGCTTGGGGGGTGG